AATAGATTTAGAAACCAAAATGTGTAAAGCAGCGCCATCTTGATGTTCATATTAGGAAAAGGAAAGAAAAGGAGTCTCAGTATTTATTGGCATGTAGATGGGGGAATGATAAAAAGTAATAGATGTGATTCTTTTTATACTTTTAAAGGCATTCGGTTGGTTCCTAGGCGGTTTATGCATTTTTTTGAGATCCTCATTTCAGGGATCGACTAAAGATCCTAAATTTTCCGTTTTTTTTAGATCGACCAAAGATCCTAAACATTATAATACAGCACCATCTTGATGTTGATATTGGGAAAAGGAGTGTTTGTCTATGAATTGATTGACATGTAGATGGCGAAATGATAAATAATAACAGAGGTGATACTTTTTATACTTTTGAAGAATCCTGGTCTAAAAATGAGATACTCGATTACATCTCAAATATTTTAACAAATTTAAATTTGTTTTCCTTTTTGTTTTAATTTCGAAAATGTTGTATTTGAACCACCCACCACGTTTTTTTACGATTCGAAATTACGTGCAAATTTTCACAGCATTAAACGTTTAAGTGATTTTCCTCTTCCAAAAAAAAAAAAAAAACGCCGAAAGTTCACAACAAATTGTACTGTAACAAGGTCTTTTACAGAGAACAAAAGGTGCGCCTAGTCATCAGTTTACACCTCCATGTAATAAATTGTTGAATTTCGTTGTACAATTGTTCTTGCCTCCTCGATTAATGTTTATTGTTAATAAAAATCAACAGGAGAGCAACAACAAAAGAAGAAAAAAAGGCAAAATAAAAACAATTGCCAGTGCAAAAAGTGCATATGGAAAGGTAGGTGTAATAGATGTGAAGGTGGCTACAACTTGGCAGGGAAAGTGGAAAATTTTAGTAAAGAAGCTGAAGCTGAACAAATAAACAAAATTCTACGCTGTCCATGTAAATAAACAAACAAACTATAAAGTATATTTTGAAAAACGAAAAGGAAAAAAAAACAAAACAAAAAATGAAAAACTAAGATATTTAAATAAGAGCACTAACAACAAGTGGCCGGCCATTAGGATGTATAATGTGCTTGGAAAACAAAAAAAAAAAAAAATTATTTCACCACTTTTTTCTTTCCACTTTTTGGGTGGGGGATCATCTTCCTCTTCTCTTTTACATGACCTGCCTGGGAAAATTCTCGACAAATAAATGAAAACAGCAGGTGTCCAAATAGCTTAACAATTAATGCCTATGGAAAACATCTGAAGCTATTCTACAATGACTTTTGAGGTAAGACCATAAGAGGAACCAAAGAATTTGCTATCGAAGCGATGGATGGCTGGCTAGCAGACGTTGGAAGAATTTGAGGCAGGCCAACTAAAAAACTCACACACACACATGAATTTCAAACATTTTGTTTACACTGTAAGAATTTAAGTTTTTGTTGTTGTTGTTGTTGCATATCATTGCGAGGTGAAAAATCTTAGCAAAAAAAAAAAATATGCAGCTCAACACCATAAAAAAAATGCCATAAACACCTAAGCAATGAATGTACCGTTCGGCCGACCGACCGAATACCGTAAAGCTTTTTAAGTGGGTCGTCCGTCCGTCGATCGTTAGTTGTGGCTATGCAGTTGTAATTTTTTAAATTTTGTATATGTGCTATAGGTGTATTGTTAGCCAAAAAAAAATTGAAATTAATTCTATTCAGTTGCTGCTAGATTTTTATCTTTAATATGCTATTCAGGTCAAAGCTTAAGTATTAAGATTTGCATGTGTGTATGTGAGTATTTAGCATTTTTTTGTAAAGAACAATTATTTATTGTTTTAATGCTAATCTCGGGCATTTAGCATTGTTTGTTATAATATTGTATTGAAAAAATAAAAATGGAGATTATTTATTAAAGAATAATAATCACATGTATAAAACAATGCAAAATAAAAGATTTAGCAATGGTCGCAAATTTTCAAAATATGTATTTGCGATTTTAGACCCGATAATAGAGTATTTTTTGAATTAATCCAATTTTAAAAATCTATGTTTTTAATATTTTTAAAAGATTACAGCTCTGGTAGTCGTTTCTTTTTTTTGTAATATTTTATGTAGGATAATATAATGCATCTAGATCGTCGATTTAAAATTTCTTTTTTTTTTCGGAGGTATAGTGAACATCGGCGATTTTTAAATATTTATACTAAGAGCTTTTACCGCTGCGACGTTATTCTCTAAAAATTCAAGTTTCAATGGTAGTCGATTTTTTTAAATATTGTTTCCAATCATTCTCGATCATCATAGTTTCTCCATTTTGAATTAAAAATTAAATTAAAGATCTGATGAGAGAAGATCTAAAATCAATTATGAACTCTAGTCCTGATGGTGCTAATTTTTTAACTATTTTTTCATTTGTTGTACGCTTAGCCTCTAGGATTTTTTAGAATTTTTCTAATGACTAGCCTAGAACTCTGGGCCCTATAATTACAATTTTAAAAACTTTTATGCCTGAACCTCTGTGGTTTTTAATATTTCCCTAAGGACTTAAGCCTAGGGCTCTGGTCCTGATAATGATATTTTTTAATATATATTGGCTTACTCCTTCTGCTGCCTCTCTCACAAAGGGGTCAAATTTTTGAATAATTATATCTCTCAAAAAAGTGTCAAAAGAGGCTTTTCTATTAACACAAAATCTGGTGCAAAGATGAAATATATCGGTCCACCCCTTTCTGATACCTATACCACAAAAAGGGGTCAACATTTTGAATAATTGTACAATTCAAATAAAGCTAAATTAGCATTCGATTCTCTTCAAATCTACTTTTTTAGTACTGAACAAAATAAATGAACAATTTGTTCAGTTTGAAAACATATATTAAATGTTTATACTTTGTCTCCAAATCCATAATTTTCAAACTTTCCGGGGAGGATATTAGTAAAACTATTGCACACTGGACCCGCATCCAATTGTTCTGTCCAAAACTATGTAAAGTCTCCAAATATAAACCTTAGAAACCAATAGTGACCTCAATATCAAATTTTAAAATTTAAGTTTTACCCCTCCACCCAATACCAAATATAGCACCATTCAGTACTTTTCGTACAATTATAGTACACATTTTCAAAAAAAAAAAAAACTTCATATTTCAATTCCAGATACCAACAGAAACCTCAATATCAATTTTCGGGATTCCAGCCCTATTTCTTCATCCAATACCAAATGTGGTACCATTTAGTACTTTTCGCACAAATTTGGAACGCATTTCATAACGACCGCCAAATCTCATACACAGATACCATCAGAAGACTAAATATCAAATTAATGAGTTTAATATCTATTTTTCACCAATTATAGTACACATTTTCGAAACCACAATATCAATATCTCAATTCCAAAAACCAGCAGTGAACTCAATATCAAATTTAGGGATTCCATCCCTATCCCTTCACCAAATACGAAATTTAGAACCATTTAGTATTTTTCGTACAATTATAGAATAAATTTCCAAAACTATCTCCATATGTCAAGGCTACACATAAACATCGGCCCTTAGAATTAAATTTCAGATTTCAAACGCTGTATGTTCACTCAATACCAAATTGTACCAAATATGGTACTATGTAGCACTTTTCATGCTCCTGTACTACACATTGCCAAAACCACCTCTTCATCACAAACCTACCATCAACAGGGACACCAATAAAATATTTCAAAATTCCGCCTTTTTTCTTTTGCCCTTAACCAAACTGATCCAAATTTAGTACCATTTTGGTACAGTTCGCCAACTTAGTATACTTTTCCAAAACCACCACCATCATATATCAAGCTTACTTCCCAACCTTAATTCGTATACCAAATTTCGAATTGTTAGCTGTTTACGTTCTCATAATACCAAGTCGTATTATTTTTGGAATTTAGTACGATTTAGAACTTTTCGTAACCCTTAAGTTCAAATTTCCAAAAAACTTTTGGTACATCTATTCTGCACTCCATCAGTGACTCTCGTACTAAATTGCAGAATTATATCTCATTCCGTTTATCCTATAAAAATTAGTACATTTTTAGTAGTTTTCGTACGAATTTTCAAAAACCCAGCCTTATCACACGCCTATGCACCAAGACTGACGACCCTCGTGCAAAATTTCAAGATTATATCTTAAGTCAGGGTGTTAATTCTCATTCAGTCAGTTATTTCACTACTATTTTATATATATATATATAGAGATGGAGAGTTTATCCGGATAACACGTAATGTTGTAAATCAGCTACTTTTTGAAGTAAATGTTGAATTTAAAAGCATTTTTATATCCTGAAATTAAATTGCTAACATTAAAAAAAAAATAGTAACTACTGATAAAACTGATGCTATTTTGGGGTCTCGATGTTATAGCCTTCCCAGCAGTGAAGTGAATATTTTTTTTTAATAAAAAATTCTAAGCCTGGTTATTTTAAAATAGTAAAAAATTAATACTTCATTTTTTTTCTATTTTTAAATGACATGTTTTTTTAATTGAAAGAAAAAAACACAAAATAAAATTTTCCTCTTTCCATTAAGAAGATTTTCCATAACATGCTATAAATAAAATAATAATATTTCTTTCACTTTGTTTGTGATTAAAAATAGTAACAATAGGCCATGCATTTGAATCAATGTCACGGTGAAGTTTTTCCTCACCCACGACCCCCCTTCTCACCCACCTCCTACACACTTTGAGCAACTTTCCTTTAGCTGTTGTTCTGTTGTGTATTACAGTCTTGGGGAAACTACATGATGCAATTGTATGTAATAGATATTACCTCAGTTGATATAACAAAGTTTTGTTGTTATTGTTTTTCCTACTTCTAAATGGTTTGCTAAGAGTATGATATGTAATATGTAAAGATGTGGGGGTATGTATGTATTTTATGTATGTATATAACATGTTGTCAAGACAAGCAAAAAAAAAAAATGGCAGAATGTCAATCAATAACAGTTTTTGTTTTGATGCCCACACTCGGTTTGTAAACAAGGCTCTTATGAGCGTTGGAAGTTGACTTACCTGATTTACCAACATCAGCATGGCCAATAACCGCAATGCGAACTCTGGGTATGGCAGTTTTGTCTTCAGCCTTCATTTTGATATTAACTGGAAAAGAAGAAAGACAGGAAAAAAACAGACATTATTGAAAAGAAAGCCAAGACCAGACATTTTTTATGTTATGATGCTGAACTTATGAAGAACAGGGATTTCAAAGAATTTTTAAGGATTTAGTTTTTTTTAAGAAATATATATTTTTTTTTGAATTTTTTTTAAGAAAAAATTTTAATTTTTTGTGTGTGTGTGTCTCTGAGCGAAAAGATGTCCATCGATTGTCATATTTTTCGAGAAACATGTCACTAGCATATCATGTGACATGTCTGTGAACTATAAGACCACATAATTCTGAACAAAAAAAAATATAAAATATATAATAAATTCTATTAATTTGTAATAGACGGATTATGTGGGTGATTCTGGGCGTATACCTGCTGACATCAATTATACGCACCATTAATCATGAATTGTGTTGGAAACTAAAAAAAAATAGAGATTTATTAATTTTCGTAATGACCTGTAATCCACATAAATAAGATTCATGTTTCTTTTAATGGAAAATTTTCAAAATTTTCATAAAATAAGGAAATGGTGTGGAATAAGCCTGAGCGTATTAGAGCTAAAATAAATTATACGTTGATTATCATTAAAAAAAAAATAAAATTTTTTATTTGATATCCAAAATTCACTCTCATCATTTTTTTTTTTCATTTTTAATACCCATCTTTAAAGTATATATTTAATATAAGGCGTTTATGTGCGTGATACAAGGCGTATACATATCGACATCAATCATACGAACCCAAGTTATTTATTTATCATAAATTTATTATAATGTAGGAATATACAGGGTAAGCAACAAAGTCCATAATTTTTACATTTTTTTTGTAATTTTATTAAATGAAAGCAAAAATGTCGGAAATAGCATCAAATTTTAGAATAAGTTTCGATTTCTTCAAATTGGTCATCTTTGGCACGAATTATGACCTTCAAACGGCTAATGAAACTGTCACACGCTGCCCGAATGTTGCTCTCCTGTATTTTGGCCCATTCCCGGCGAAGCGCTTGCTTGAGGTGATCGACACTCTGGTATTTTTTAGTGCCAACCTTGCTTTCCAAAATACTCCAGACACAATAGTCCAACGGATTGGTATCCGGAGATTTTGGTGGCCATTGTGTGCTGGAAATGAAGCGAGGAATCTCATTTTGGAACCATCCCTGGGTGGAGCGTGCTGAGTCCTGTTGGAATGTCCAAGGTCTGCGGCCAAAATGTTTGCATGCCCAAGGTTTTAAGAATATTTTCACGATAATATTCGGCATTTATTCTGATACCACGATCGATTAATACGAGCGCTGTTATGGCGCTACGGCCCACACCATCATCGTGGCCGGCGCTTGAGTTCTGGTGGCCAACCGAAGGTGCACAGCAACATCAGCCGAAATGGTTCGAAAAGTAAAGAAGCGACCTGATCGAAACCAGCGTCGCAGTAGCCGAATAATGGCTCGTGAGCTGAACATATCGCAATATTCCACTCGGCAAATATTGAAAAATGAGCTCGTGGTGAAGCCATTTAAATTCCAAAAGGTGCAAGAATTTACACCGCAACAGCAAGAAAATAGACTCGAAAAGAGATAAAGAGTTGCTTCGCTTTGCCGAATGTGGTGATCTGCCGATTGGTTTACAAACTGCTGGACAACGAATGTTTTCTCATCGGAGAAAATCAAATTGGACAGTTCACCACTTTCGGCCAAGCGAAGCAACTCTTCTGCTCTTTTGAGTATATTTTCTTTCTGTTGCGGTGTAAGTTCTTGCACTTTTTGGAATTTCAATGGCTTACCCCGAGCTCATTTTTCAATAGTTGCCGAATGAAATATTGCGATATGTTTAGCTGACGAGCCATTTTTCGGCAACTGCAACGAGGGTTTCGATCAAGTAGCTTCTTTACTTTTCGAACCATTTCTGCTGATGTTGCTGTTTTCTTCCTTCCGTCCACTTCCTTGACGTGACGGTAACGAGCGAAGGTACGAGACACAAAAGATTTATTCACATTTAAATGCTGGAGTGCTCTCACGATAGCCACTTGTGGGTTTCCAGCCAAATATAAAGAAATCACACTATCACGCTTGTATTCCATCACGAATAACTTTTTTTGTGGAAAATTCTCACCAAAATGCTTTTGTACGCTTGTAAACAACATAATGAGCTGTCACTGGAGTAATATTAACAACTGTCGGACGAGTGGCTTAAAAATTACATCAGTATGAATTTGCTTGCAGTTTTTTCATCACACCCTATATCCATAACTTCCTGGATCCAGGGCGTATACTCAACGTCATGGCTCATACGCCCCATTGTAAAGGTATTAAACATGAATTTTGTTTGAATTTGAAAGTATTGTATGAATTTATCGAATTCAACATGCTTTTCACTAACATAGAAAACCATAGTTTTCATTGATAATTCCAATTTTCAATTGATAATTCAACTTGATTTTCGGTACTGCGCATAATTTACTCAAACTAAAATTGATCTCTTATTTTAGGCATTTATTATTCAATTATGTTCCATCGTCATGATTCATTTCCCTTTAAAGTAGATAGATTTTCTGCCCAAATACCATTCAAATTCCATAAATTGCTATTTAATTGAATCTGTTTAAGAATAATGAAATTCCACAATTATCCATCACCATATGTTTGTTTCCAAAACAATTTAATGGTAGCATTAACCTTTAATGGCAAAGATTGGGCAAATCCGAAAAACATAACAAAACGCAACATTGCAAAATTCCAAAAAAAAAAACCAAAAACATAAACATAAATGCCTTGGAAAAATCCAGTGAAACTAAGTAAACGATGTTGCCATTCAATTCAATTCTTATCTCATTCATTAGACTTTTTCAACAAATATTTTTCAATTTTTTTCTCTTTTTATTTGATTTTCTGTAATTTATCTACGCAATATTTACCAATACAAGAGCCTACTTTTCTCTTTTCTCCATTTGTTATGCTAATATTTTTTTGTTCGTTTCAGTTCGTACATGTTTGTTTGTTTGTTTGCTTAAATTGTATTCAAAATTGTGTGTATATGTAAATTATTTGTCGTTTTCTGGCTCTTCTTTCACCAACAAAAAAAAATGCTGTTTGTTTATTTGACAAGATCACGTTTCTGCTGATTAAGAAAATATGAGCGAAGTATGAATCTGATTTATGTGTGCGATGGGTCATTTGGAAAAAAATTGAAATATATATTCCAATATTATACCAAATTCATGATTAATAAATCACTTAGGGTGCGTATGATTGATGTCGGCATTTATACGCCTTGTATTACACACATAAAGGCTTTATATTGAATAGAGACTTTAAAGATGTGTCACGGGTTTCAAATAATAATTTTATTTAAATATGATTTAAAATTAGAAACTATAAAAAAAATCCAATTAAATTAAAACTCAAACCGACGTATGATTAATTTTGGCACCAATCCTCTGAGGGCTATTCCAAATCGTTTCTTTATGAAATTTTTGAAATTTTTCCATATAAAGAAATACAGGTTAGGAAAAAAAAACTGCAACCAACTTCAAACCGCTGGATTTCTAAGCCACTCGTCCGACAGCTGTTAAAATTATTCCAGTGACAGCTCATTATATTGTTTACAAGCGTACAAAAGCATTTTGGTGAGAATTTTCCAGGCAAAAAAGTTATTCGTGATGGAATTCAAGCGCGATAGTGTGATTTCTTTATATTTGGCTGGAAAACCACATGTCGCTATTGTTAGAGCACTCCAGCATTTAGATGTGAATAAATCTTTTGTGTCTCGCACCATCGCTCGTTACCGTGATACTGGTAGTGTAGCCTGACGTCAAGGAAGTGGATGGAAGAAAACGGCAACATCAGCAGAAATGGTTGGAACAGAAAAGAAGCGAGTTGATCGAAATCCGTGTCGCAGTGGCCGAAAAATGGCTCGTGAGCTGAACAGCGATATGTTTTCGGCAAATATTGAAAAATGAGCTCGGAATGGTAAAGCCATTGAAATTCCAAAAAAGTGTAAGAACTTACACCGCAAAAGAAAGTTAAATATACTTAAAAGAGCTAAAGAGCTGCTTTGCTTGGCCGAAAGTGGTGAACTGCCGAATTTGGGTTTTCAGTCTCAGATGAGAAAACTTTCGTTGTCCAGCGGTTTGTAAACAAACAAAATGATCGTGTTTACTTGCCAAAGAGGTCAGCTGAAAATGTGCACCTTCGGTTGGCCACCAGAACTCAAGCGCCGGCCATGAGGGCCGCGATAACAGCCGATTGTCGCTCTCCGCTCGTATTAACCGACCGTGACATTAGAATAAATGCAAATATTATCGCGAAAATATTCTGGAGGGTGTATTAAAGCCTTGGGCACGCAAACATTTTGGCCACAGACCTTGGATATTTCAACAGGACTCAGCACCATCGCACTCAGCACTCGCCACCCGAGAATGGTTACAAAATGAGGTTCCTCGCTTTATTTCCAGCGCACAATGGCCACCAAAATCTCCGGATACCAATCCGTTGGACTATTGTGTCTGGAGTATTTTTTGGAAAGTAAGGTTGGCACTAACAAATACCAAAGTTTCGATCACCTCAAGCAAGCGCTTCGCCGGGAATGGGCCAAAATACCGCAGAGCAACATTCGGGCAGCGTGTGACGGTTTCATTGACCGTTTGAAGGCCATAATTCGTGCCAATGGTGACCAATTCGGACAAATCTAAAGTTATTCTAAAATTTCTAAAGTTCTAAAGTTTCAATAAAATTAAAAAATTAAAAAAAATGTAAGAGTTATGGCGTTTGACATTGTTGCAGTTTTTTTTATCTCACCTTGTATACTTTTTGGGATCTCCGATGAATATTTCGAGGTCTTGCAACAGGAATAATAAACTTGATATACCCTTTATTTAATAGTGGAGGGTATGAAAAATGCAAGGACTTCTGAACGTATACATGCCCGACATCAATCATACACACTATAGTTCATTTATAGATAATGGACGTATGATTAACGACAGCATGTATACGCT